CCACAACGCCCAGCTATTTTTTGGTTGCAGCCGTCATTGTTGTTTAGAGGGCCCAGGCTGGATTCGAACTCTCCACCTTGGGTGTACGTGGCTGGCGCCTTAGCCACTTGAGCCACAGGCACTGAGCCGACTTAATGTTCTTAATGTAATTGTTTAGTTATTACTCTTCTGTTGCTAGTCATCTAAAAGATCAGGAGATTGTGCAATAGCTTATAGTATTAACTTTTTATGAATTTGTTCAGAAATTTGTCTCTCAAATGGAGAAAAGGTTTTCATCAGCTAATGTTTTAAACATCTCAGGTGAACTAAGCAAGTTATAATTAAAATATCTCATTTTGGACGGCACCTGTGGCTCAGTGAGTTGGGTGCTAGCCCCATTTACCGAGGGTGGCAAGTTCAAACCCGGCCCTGGAGTAACTACAACAAAAATATAGCCAGGTGTTGTTGGCGCCTGTAGTCCCAGCTACTCTGGAGACTGAGGCAAGAGAATCGCCTAAGCCCAGGAGTTGGAGGTTGCTGTAAGCTGTGTGACTCCACGGCATTCTACCGAGGGTGTTAAAGTGAGACTCTGTCTCTACAAAAAAGAAAATAAGTAAATAAATAAAGTATTTCATTTTCTAGTGGACTTAGTGATTTTTTTTTGTTTAAATCATTTTTTTTGTTTGTTTAAATCAAGGCTTGTGTTAACTTCCAATAACTAACTTTGAGAATGAATTCCATGCATTGAAGAAGTGGACTATACCTGAAAACAATTTTCTATAATACAGTCTTTCTTTGTTTATAAAATTTAAATAGGAAAATTCCTTTATTTAGGTAAAATCCTTTTATCATTTCACAGGAGATGGCCTTATTTTACCTGTTATCAATTACATTTCTGCCCTGCTTCAGAACCTTCAGGAATCTAGCCAGTGGGAACTGGCCCTAAGATTTGTAGTTGGTTCATTTGGTACCTGTCTTCAGCACTCTGTGTCAAACTTCATGAATGCCAGTTTAAGTGAAAAGGTATAGTTTTGAGCACAAATACTTGGACTTTGGGTGAATATAGATAATAAAGCACTGCCAAACAAAGGAATTGGGAGTCCACATTATCCTATTTGGCTATGCAACAAGGAAACTGATAATTCGTCAGATTTAAGAAACATTTGTTGAGGGCAGCACCTATGGCTCAGTGAGTAGGGCGCTGGCCCCATATTACCAAGGGTGGCGGGTTCAAACCTGGCCCTGGCCATACTGCAACAAAAAAATAGCCAGGCATTGTGGCGGGCGCCAGTAGTCCCAGCAAGTTAAATGAGCTTTTTGGTTATAATAAGTCTTTGCACTGCAAGCTCAGTGCAGTTTTGACTATGTCACATTGGGTCAAAAATAGCTCCCTGCTTTTTTTTTTTTTTTTGAGACAGGGTCTCACTATGTCGCCCTAGGTAGAGTGCTGTGGAGTCATAGCTCACAGCAACCTCAAACTCTTGGGCTCAAG